GGAGTCTCCAGGCCAGGACCAGCAGACTGAAGGACAGCTTCATTCATCAGGCTGTCAGGAAGCTGAACTCCCTCCTGACCTTGCTCCCCCTCCCCTCTTTTGCCCCATGCACCACTGAACTCTGAACCTCAGACCCCCCCACTAACTCACTGGGACCTGCACCAGTCACTTTGTGCAGCATTGGTCTGCTCACTACCTCATTCAGCATTGAACTGACGTCATTCAACTACCTCTTCTGACAGTTTAAATAAATAACTGCTCTCTGAGCTTTTTGTCACTTTAATCAAAATAAGCTCTTTTGCACTACAATCATTATATCTGCACTGTTTGTTTACTTCACTGGTTTGCACTCTATCTGCCATGTGTCTTGTGCTGCTTTATTTATTTATTTATTTTACATGACCTTATTTGTATAGTTGTATTTTATTTTATATTTAATCTATATCTATCTGTATTTTATGTTCTAATGTTAGTGTTATATGTATGCACCAAGGGTCTGAGAGTAACGCAATTTCAATTCTCTGTATGTATGTGCTGTACATGTGGAAGAATTGACAATAAAGCAGACTTGACTTGACTTGATTTGAATAAACAGCCTATAAGGCTATTAAATGGCAGGGCCAAACTAGTTTTTGTTACAGCTTTTCTGCATTGCTAAAACACATTTCCTGAAACCATCACTCCTTTTCTCAAAACCTTAAACACAAATCCAAATACTCAAACTAAATTCACGAAACCTCTGACTCTTCCATCAAAATCAAACAACCACTGCAAAACCATTTCACTTGCACTCAAAATCAAACGGTGCTCTCAGATCACACACACATGAGTCAATAAAGAAAACACTACAGAGCATTCATTAGACACTACAGAGAAAAATGGAGAGCGCAGCATCCAGAACATTACAGACAAAAGTATATTGTATTGAGTAAACAATTTTGTGATTATTTAAAAAAGTATAGTAATTGCAACTGAGTTAGGTGAATATTTTGTATAGGCCTACTGTATGTTCTGCTAGAATAGTATTGTGCTGAATTTTGAATAGTACTGAATGTTTGTATATATTCAGCACTTGGATACTGCAAAAATACAGTCCAACTGCAAAGACTAAAAAGGCCCAATTAAACTCTAAACGAATTGCATGTTACAGTACACTCAAATCCTGTAAGTTGTGCAATTGTAAAATCAGGGTCAAGGAGAGATTCACTCTGTCTCAGCATCATGTCCGGCCTGAGGACTTTGTCCACATCACAAGTAATGTTGACTTTTTTGCTAGACAAAGAGAAAAAACCCTCTGGTCTGACAGATCCAGCCTTGATAACGCTCTCTAAACCTTACTCTTTCTCTCCTCCACTTCTAACATATACTCTTCCTCTTTTCCTTCTCAGATTGTTTCCATCTATTGTTCGTATCATCATTCAGTCACCTGTGCCACTTGTGCACTCTAAACTGGCTCATATTTTGTACAGTTGGTTTGATCACATCATTAGAAACAAGTGTGAACAATTGTGAATCGTTGTGTGTAAACGATTACAACTGTGCTTTAGTTGTGTTTAACTTTTGCAGCTTGTGTTTAGCATTTTGCAGCACAAATGCATCACAGTGTTTAAGTGAATGAGAATGTGTTTAGAGTTTTGCAAAAAGAGTGCATGAGATTTGCAAATAGAGCCTAACTGCCTGAACGTGTTTAAGGTTTAGCAAAAAGAGTGCTTTATTTGACAAATTGGTTTAAGCTAGTGAGAAGTTGGTGTAGAGATTGGGGTTTAGTGTTTTAGCAATTCAGAAAAACTGTAATACAATTAAGTTGGTATGAGCCACTTACAGTCATTTAAACAAAAGTGAAAATAACATGGCATTTTTGGGTTGTGGAAAAAACAGTTACCATGGTGAATACACAATACTAACATGAGCTCCTGAATAGAATGAATATCATACCTTCATGCAAATCCTTCCCAGCTAACACACGAAATACCAGTTACGTGATTTATTGGTACTTTACTTTTATTTCACATGTTGCATGCTCTTGGTTTCTTTTGTGCTTTAGTGAAATTATATACAGCATGCGCCACCGCATTTGTGTGTGCAACTGAAGCCCAACAACATCTCATCTGACTGCAGATACTGAATTGGGACAGTGTGTTTTTCTCTGGCACTCTTTACTTAAACTGTATCTGACAGAAGTGTCAACAGCGTTCACGCACGTCTTTCAAAATAAAAGTCTCACATCAGAAAAACATTTAGAATCACGTTTTTTGTTGTTGATGTTGTTTCTTTGACTGTACACTCCGCAACTCACTTTTGGGTTGCGACTTACCAGTTGAGAAACACTGATTTACACTAAAGATGTACTGTTACCTGTCCTGCACAAAAAGGGATATCACCAAGATGACTGCCAAGTGAACTGACTTGTCTTAAAGGGACTTGGATTTATGTATCATCATGACACTAAAGTCAATATGATAACTAAACAACCTCTGTGAATATCACTGACCTTTCGGGCAGATGTCAGTGCACGGGATGCACATCTTGATGTTACTTTCCTCCACCTCCATCTTGTTGCTCGGACAGGCTCTGACACAAGAGCTGTGATCCACCACAAAGTTATCTGAGTTCCAGACAGCACAATATTAGAATATTAATAAGACAGCTGTGCAAAGATATAGTCTGAGGTGAAGAAGGATAATATTTCAAATTAGAAATGGAATCAGGCCAAACCATCCATATTTGTATTTATTTATTTTTAATTTGCAAATGAAGAGTAGAGACCATTAGAAAGTGATTATTTGTTAAATGAGTAATCCCATTCCTTTAAGAAATCTAACTTACGTGGGCATTTCTTGACACAGAAAGCTCCATAGGTGTATTTGGCGTTGGGATTGTGTTCGAGCTGGAAGGTTGTTGGATTGTAGACGAATGGCTGAGGACATTGAGTCACACAGGCCCCGCTGTCATTAAAGTTGGTACAAGCCTGAGAATAAAAAACAGTCATGTAAGTATGTGGTTGATCGATAATACATGCCTATAATGAAGAGAAACCTCTGCAGAGCTTTCAGTGTATAACACATTCACTTTCAAATTATTTTAAAAGTGAGCAGGCATCTGTCATTACATTTATTACACTTTAAAACCATACAGGAAGAGTTGACATACGAAGCAGTCCGTGTCTTTGGGTCCGGTACAGCCTCCTGCACATTCACGGTGGCAGCAGTTACTGACGTATGGACCAAAACAGCGTCCATCACACTGCTCTGCACACACCGTCTTTGTCACTGCATGATTGCGAATATAGATGGAGAGAGAAAGAATCAAAAATAGTTTTCTCTACAAATTTTTTCTAAACCAAATTATCTTTTGTCTTCTTTCTAAAAATGGCAATTCCGATATCTAGAAGGAAGTTACAAATGACCGATAATAATATAAAAAATTAACATAATCTGAACAATATTTACTTCAAATTAATATATATATATATATATATACAAAACTAATATAAATAAAAATACATATTTTAAAACGTAATTGCTTGATTAAACAAACAAAATAAAGATTAATTTTAATTAAAATTTCACACAAAGAAAAATTAAAGTTAAATATAGTTGACTAATACTGTAAATTCCTTAAAATAAAAATTTATTATTATTATTATTAGTTATTTGCTGAAAATTCACTCTAAAATATTTTAAAGCATAAAATGTACAGTATCCATTGCAAAATAAATAAATAAATAAATACAATTCTTTGTAGACGTTGGAACTGACACAATCTGGCATGGCAGGCATGATTTTGGCTGATGCTGATAATCTCAAAGTAGTCAAATATCTGCAATTTACTCTGCTACTGATTTACTGGCCATGCACATCATATTCTTAGCATAGATCTAGAGATCTAGAAGATAATGTAATACTTGAGTTGACAGCTACAGTTAAATTAGCTAAGTGAGGTAGTGTGCAAAACCAAAACAGACACTGTCAAATAATAAGTTTGTCACTGTCTCATCAGTCAGTAATCTCCATGACTTGAAATACTTCATGCCGTCAACAGCAGTCTCAAATGTCTTATGGAGTTAAAGTGTATTGCTCTGACACCCAAAGCTCAAGAAGAGATTATGATAACTGTCTCTATCTGTCCTTCTTTCTTTCACTCTTTTATTTTGCTCTAATTACCACCCACACTATGAGCTGTATCACCAGCAGATTACAGATAGTAGAAATACTCTGATAACCCTCCTACCAGTTAATTATCACAGCTACCGGCCCAGAGGCTCAAACTGACAATACCAGACAGTAGACTTTTGCCTTTTATTAGAAAAGATGTCAGACATAAAAATGTATAACTTCAGAACCACACAGAGAAACAAAGAAATAGAAGGAAAAAATAATAAAGGTCTGTTTACTTCTGATGAAACTCTGATTACATACGAGACAAAAAGTATATACTGTGGATGCAGACAATCATATATGAAATTCTGTCTGGACACAACAGTCAAATAAGCAGACTCAATAACTAGCATTCAAAAGTGCTTCTTAATGCTCAAATATAAATGCTACTTTGATCTATCAATCCCAGAGGAATTTTAAGTGTGGTCAACTATTTGTTCAAGACAGTTTATCCAAAAAACAATTTACATTTGAGTCTGTTTGTCACAAAAAGCCATTGTTGGCTCCAGAGGACTGTGTATTTATAATGCATTCATACTTTTAATTATATTACCCCTAAGGGATTTTAAGAAGAGCATCTGAGATAAAGTAAATATCCAGGGCTACTTCACTTCTTAAAACTGCTATATTGTCACTTAATAGACAATAATAATGCTCTGGAATATTGTAGATGTAGATAGATAAATTAAAACTCACAGCTTTGGCACTGGTCTTCCTGGTGACCCCAGCAACGTCCATTACAAGATCTGTGACACCGTCTGCCTGCAGAAAGAATCCGGAATAATCAGCCATGACATTTTCTGCTCCATATAAAAACAATATAACTGAAGCTGTCCATTCAAATGTATCAACAAAGAAAATTTAGAAATAGTTCAGACACTAGATGTGAACTTGAATTCTTATTTGACCCAAAAGTTGCAAAGACTAAAGTCTCAAACCCAAAGAGATATTCTTCATAAAAGTTCAGACTCGCCCACGCCTACCTAAAACGCCTCGTTTAAACACACCCCCACGTCTACGTCCCGATGTGGGAAGATTTGCATAACACTGCCCAAATGTTCACGCAAAGAAAGAAGGTGAAACTTTGATTCTCGCTGTAGTATTGTTGCCGCAGCCGCCATGCCGTGGAGACGCTGTGTGATTCGTTGTGAAAGCAAAACTACTTTGTTTGGCCTTCCAAAAGAGGACACAACTAGAAATCAGTGGTTAAGTTGTATTTACAACTGTTCCAGAACAGTTCAAACCAAATATTCAGATGTGTGCAACGCATTTTACGGAGGACGAGGACTGCTTGGGAGAGTAGCCTACAATGTCGGTGTTCCGGTGAATTCAGTTCCCCTGTTTCCCCTTCGGCGAGCATGCTGACCACAGTCTATGATGCTGACAAATAATGCTGACTCACAGCCTGTAAGTATGTTTTCATATTTAAAGGATTTGCCACTGATAATTCAAATGCGAGTTTTGAGCAATGTAGAGTAACGCTTGTTGTTTGCCATTTCTCCGATCACAAATGCAGACATGGTTTTATGTTTACACGGCGCGATGCAACGCAACGCGTAAAAAGACAGTATAAGTCATTATAATCAGTAATTATGTCCCCAATGGATGCAACAAATGCCTCGTTTATAATGGGTTTTATTGGTTTTGTCTCATCGCGCCGTCTCGTCTTGGCATCACAATATGGTAAGGGACGTACCATTTCCGTCACACGCTTGAGGAATTCGGCCAATCACAACACACTGGATAGCTGGCCAATCAGAGCACACCTTGCTTTTCAGAGCAATGAGCTTTGTAAAAATCTACGCTTTTCAGAAAGGCGGGGCATAGAAGAGAAACAATAATGTACAGTATGTGGAAAATAATGTGTTTTTTGAACCTTAAACCGCATAAACACATTTCATTACACCAAATACACAAAATAATGTTCTTTTTTAGCAAGGCAATATGACCCCTTTAATATTGACTGTTATTGTTACAGTTCTACATGCAAAAAAAATAGAAAAACACAATAGCCACTTGCCCGATCTTCTTGGTGTTTATAACAGTATAATTAACATTTGTCAAAGCTGCTCAATGAAGTACTCACATGAGTTGCCACTGTTGTTGGAAGGAACCACCAGAAGTTCAGACCGCGGGTTCTTGATTATGTCATTCCAGTGGATGGTGTCAGCATGGCACAAGAACTTGTTCTGATCCACATACACGCCTCCATTCAGGATTTCTGGTACAAAAAAAATAGAAAATTAGCTTTTTATAATAAGGATATTAGCTGAAGGATCGACATGAAAATACAGTGGCTACATTTTTATTTATTTATTTTTGTGAATTATTATGCATGAAAGGTGTGCTTGTGATATATCTCCCCTCAAAATGAATGGCACTTGTTTTGATATAAATTTGTATACATTTATACATTTTTAAAATGTCATTTAAGTGTTCACTCCATGTTTTGGTCTGACAGTAGCAGTAAGACTAGCCGGGAAAATATTAGGTACATAATAGAAAAGTGTTTATATTTGTTGGCTAAAACTAATGCTACTGAAAATCCTTTTTTTTTTTTTCTTTTTTTTTTTTACTAAAAGCTGAAATAAAATACAATATAAACATCAAGATGGAAAAAATAAAACTACAACAATGCCTGAAATAAAAAAGTTGTTAACTAATTTATTGTTGTTAACTGAACTGTTAGCTGAAATACATTTGTAAGTTTATTATTAAATTACTAATATACTTTAAAGTAATACAATTACTTAAAATAAATAAATATTAATAAATTAAGTAAATATTTAATCTAAAATAATACATCAAATAAATAGATTGAAGCTAAATATAAATATTTACAAAAAAACTAATAGAAATGACAAAAGCACTTTGCTAAATTAAAATTAAAACAAAAAATATGAAGATAAAGCTAACTCAAAATATTAATACAATAATAGTATATACAGTAAATAATCTGAAAACAATGATATAAGCAACCATATTTTCATCATACTGAAAAAAAAGTACATTACAAAATGACTAAAACTTAAACTAAAAATAAAATTAAAACTAAAAATTAAAAAATTTAAACTAACTCAAACATCAATAAATACTATAACAGTATAAAAAAATAATACTAAATAAAACTGGCATAAATGCAACCATATTTTTATCATACTGTACTCCACTCCATTCATAAGCTGGCAAAGCTATTACAGTGGAAGTCATCCACACTGATACTGTCTGTGCATATCGTTCACTGATTTCAGCTTTTCTCTACAACCGGCATGCATTTATAATCTCAAAAGTTTCTGTTATCATGGAGAGAATCTCTCATGTTTCCATGCACCATTTAGATGGGTATAAAGTGTCACACTGGTTGTGATAAGCATATGCGAGTTTGACGAGCAGAGATAAGTGGCCAGACACTTCAATTTATCAGTCTCATTCTCAGTGTGTAACTAATTGCAATAATTAAGAATAAAAATATATTTTTGTTTTCTATCTGTAAATGACCATAAATGTCTTCCGCCTTTATCAAGATCAGCCTGTGGTCCAAATCTGTCTCTCTGGTGCCAGGCTCCCTTCTAAGAGTGTGAAAAGGTGTATCAGACACCTTGCATGGTTGGCTGATCGTATTGTACTGTGCTTTCCAAACACAATGAATGAGTCTGGAAGGAAATCAGACATGGTACTCATCCAAATACACACACTAGCAGTTTGCTATGATATTACAGTCTCTTTTTGGCTTGGGCTACTTTTTTATTCTAAGTGTATTGATTTAATTTTTTTTTTTTGCAGATTTTATGGTCTGGGGGTAAAAAAACAACAACAACAATGCTCACAAATACTTATTAATATTTTAGGTTTAGCTACCTTCAAATTCAGTGCAGAGACCTTGTCTGTGTTAAACATCCATTAGCAAAATGTTCGTCCAATCATTGCATTTGGTACCTCAGTGTAGGCAATATCAAGAGTCTGGGACGTGGCTATTGTAGCAGATTGAACCAAACGGTGTTAACCAGTATGGAAATAGAAATTCAGATTCTGTTACAGAAGTGTAAACCAAAATTCAAAAACTTTCCAAAATACTCAGAGACAGACATCGGGGTAAAACAAGGCTAAACACTGACAGTGTTTTTACAAGATAGAGGAATCTGATGGAACGTTTGGGTTTCAATTGTTATGACAAACTTGTAAAGTTTCTTCTCGACAGGTAAGCTAAATTTCAAGTTAAAAATATTCCTAATATGTTGGACCTTTTATTGAAACCAGTCTGCTTTTACATGTTGATACATGCCTTCACTTTTATAGACCTGTTAGAGCTGCGTTTGTGATGTTTTTGTTGGGGAAGGTGTGATGCACATATGGGCCATTAGCAAAGGTTGTTTGAAAACATGCTTTATTTTTGTAATTCCGCTAGATGACACTAGTAGTGCAGAAACTGCCCAGACTGTCAAAATGACATCAATAAAATCCACCTGTGTTCGTTGTCCATTACATATGCCTGCCCATATCATAACCCCACCGCCACCATGGGCCACTCGATCCACAACGTTGACATCAGCAAACCGCTCACCCACACAACGCCATACACGCTGTCTGCCATCTGCCCTGTACAGGGAAAACCGGGATTCATCCGTGAAGAGAACACCTCTCCAAAGTGCCAGACGCCATCGAATGTGGGCATTTGCCCACTCAAGTCGGTTACGACGACGAACTGCAGTCAGTTTGAGACCCCGATGAGGACAACGAGCATGCAGATGAGCTTCCCTGAGATGTTTCTGACCGTTTGTGCAGAAATTATTTGGTTATGCAAACCGATTGTTGCAGCAGCTGTCCGGGTGGCTGGTCTCAGACGATCTTGGAGGTGGAGATGCTGGATGTGGAGGTCCTAGGCTGGTATGGTTACACGTGGTTGTGAGGCCGGTTGGATGTACTGCCAAATTCTCTGAAACGCCTTTGGAGATGGCTTACGGTAGAGAAATGAACATTCAATTCACGGGCAACAGCTCTGATGGACATTCCTGCAGTCAGCATGCCAATTGCACGCTCCCTCAAAACTTGCGACATCTGTGGCATTGTGCTGTGTGATTAAACTGTACATTTTAGAGAGGCCTTTTATTGTGGCCAGCCTAAGGCACACCTGTGCAATAATCATGCTGTCTAATCAGCATCTTGATATGCCACACCTGTGAGGTGGATGGATTATCTCGGCAAAGGAGAAGTGCTCACTAACACAGATTTAGACAGATTTGTGAACAATATTTGAGAGAAATAGGCCTTTTGTGTACATAGAAAAAGTCTTAGATCTTTGAGTTCAGCTCATGAAAAATGGGGGCAAAAACAAAAGTGTTGCGTTTATAATTTTGTTCAGTATATTACATAGAAATATAAATAATAAATCTAGTTGCCCTTCTTTGGCTAAAAGAGTGAGAATTTGTCCTTACATAAAACTCTAAATAAATCCCAGTGTTTTCCATTAGTTTCTTTGACAGCAGTAGAGAGATTGTTTTGCATGACAAATGTGAGCATATCTGAAAGCGCATACTGTGTGGAGGAGGGCCTCCTCATGGATATCCGTAATTGTGTTGAAGCTTTCTGATTAAACTTCAGTCATCTTAAATGTTATTGCTTCACAGTGAATCAGTGTGACAAATGTGATGCATCGTCCCGATAACTGAAATAATATGCAAGAGAAAAATAAATAACAGCTGTTAAAACTTTCTAAAAGATTGCTTTGCTTTGTGTTTCCTGTCTTTTTGACTGGCAGCTCAGTATCTCCCAGAGATTTTGCTGGCATGAAAACTTGGAGCAAATGGTCAAATAAATCATAGGCCATAAATCAAAAGATACGACAACATGTGGAGCTCAATGGAAAATTAATCTACTGTAACTCCAAGTTTTGCAAATTGTGGTAATTCGATAAAATGAGCAGCATGTTGGAATAGCACAAAAGTTTTGATTTTCAAAACTTGATTTTTTTTCCTTCTTCACCAAACAGATGATAAAAGGCACTTACTTATAGCATTTACTGTTGAAAGAAGTAGTTCTGCAGTACCATGGTACAGTGATTGTATCGTATAATAATACTATAATACTTTGAAATACACTCCCGTTCAAAAGTTTGGGGTCTGTGTGATTTTTTAAATATTTTTCAAAAAAGTATCTTACACATGCTGCATCAATGAACCAAAAATAGAAATATTATGAAATATTACCTCAATTTAAAATACAATTTTATATTTTACTATATATTTTAAAATGTTATTTATTCCAGTGATGTAAAGCTGATTTTTGTTTTAGCAGCCATTACTCCAGTCTTCATCATGTGATTCTTTTAAAAATCATTCTAAAATGCTGATTTGGGGCCTCAACAAACTTCCACAGGGGCCTCAAGATGACTAAAAAAATAATAATGATTAAATTATTAAAGGGGTGGTTCATTGCGATTTCACTTTTTTAACGTTAGTTAGTGTGTAATGTTGCTGTTTGAGCATAAACAATATCTGCAAGGTTACAAAGCTGAAAGTACAATGCAAACGGAGATATCGTCTTTTAAAATTCTGTCAGTTTAATGCCTACAAAAACGTTTTTAGCAGCCATTACTCCAGTCTTCATCATGTGATTCTTTTAAAAATCATTCTAAAATGCTGATTTGGGGCCTCAACAAACTTCCACAGGGCCTCAAGATGACTAAAAAAATAATAATGATTAAATTATTAAAGGGGTGGTTCATTGCGATTTCACTTTTTTAACGTTAGTTAGTGTGTAATGTTGCTGTTTGAGCATAAACAATATCTGCAAGGTTACAAAGCTGAAAGTACAATGCAAACGGAGATATCGTCTTTTAAAATTCTGTCAGTTTAATGCCTACAAAAACGGCTGGTAGGGACTACAACGAGTTACTTCCCGGGTTCGTGACATCACAAACCCAGATAAACCCCGCCCTCGGGAAAAGGCAGCAAAGGGGGCGAAGCCATGCTGCGCTGCTTTAGAGAAGAGGAAGAGAAAACTAGAGGTGTACGTAAAAATCTGTTCATATATGAATTGTGATTCTGTCTTCTAACAATTCTAATGGATTCACAAGTTTAAAAATCAATGTTCAAAAGCAGCGGTTCTCAATCCTGTTCCTCGAGTCCCCCTGCTCTGCATCTCTCTCTCTCTCTCTCTCTCATTCAGCTCAGCTCCGACAATGAACTGTTCCAATTATACTCTTATTTTCACATAGCTATAAGA